ATTTAATGTACAATCTATTGTAAAATCTATCTAGTTTTGTCTCTTTAATTTTATTACAATAAATTACTATATTATATTTACGTAATGTAACAGCTTTAAATAATATTAAAATCTTGTAGTTTAAATAATTTAAATAGATGAACATTAAGGTATTTGTGAATGGCAATATTTGAAACCAGACTCGAGTGCCTCGTGCGACTCTCGCACGAAGAATGTAATTTATTTTAAAATGTTAGAATATGTTTTATCTTCTTGTTTGTATGTCGCCATTTTTTTGAGTGTTAAATAAAAGTTATTGCTATGTTCCATCATTGGAGTTGCTTCATTTCGCCAGAGAAGCATCACAGTCTTAATTATTTTGGAGGCACCGGCGAGATACGAACTCGCGATCTCCTGTTTACCATTGGCTGAGATCGAACTAAATTGCGATCTTGACGAGTAATAACTAAGGCTGCCATTATTAGAAATGAACTCGACAAAGGAAGGTATTTATTAGGCAATCGAACTTTTGCACTGTTGAATAAACAAGGAAAGGAACCTGATAGTTGTCCTCACCAGGTTAATGCTGTCTCTACTAGAGCTCAAAAAAAAAAAAAAAAAAAAAAAAAAAAAAAAAAAAAAAAAAAAAAAAAAAAAAAGAGAAATAGCCGAAGAGAAGATCTTGGAACTGATGAAGGAAGAAAATAAAGCATCCAGAGATGTTTTTGAAGAAGAAGATAATTTACCAGAGCTAAATTCGGAAGATGAAACTCTCATGAAACTGGTAAACATTGACTCAGAAGAAATTGCACAACTTCAGCTTGCTGATAAGGAACTGTCTAAAATCATCCAAGAAGTTAAAGAAGGTACATGCAAAAATGAGAACTATAGTCTGACAGGAAAAGGACTTTTAGTTAAAAAAACGACGGATAAAATGGGCTTTGAAAGACAGCTTGTCGTTATACCTGAAAAACTCAAGCCGTCAATTATAAAGATGTGCCACGAAAGAACTTCTGGTCATTTGGGTGTCAAAAAGACCAAAGACAGACTTGCTAGAATTTTTTTACTGGACGAGGTGTTACAAAGAAACTGAAGATTTTTGTAAGAACCTGTGATGCTTGTCAGCGCGCTGGAAAAGGAAATGACAAAAAGAAGGCTCCAATGACATTAGTACCAGTAATTTCCGAAATATTCACTAAAATAAATGCCGATGCCGTTGGTCCGCTACCTATTTCAAAGACTGGAAAAAAATATATTATTACAGCTCTGTGTATGTCGTCCAAATATCCAGATGCTGTTGCGGTGACAGACATTTCTTCGCCATCTGTGATTGATGCTTTCTTACAGATTTTCAGTCGTATGGGTTTCCCAAAAGTGATCCAAACAGATCAGGGGACCTCTTTCGTCAGTGCTTTGACAGAGGAATTTTTGGAGCGTTTCGGCATTAAACATGTAAGAAGCTCTGTGTATCATCCGCAGAGTAATCCCGTTGAGCGATTCCATAGAACGCTAAAAAGGGTGTTAAGAGTCGTATGTATAGGAGCGACTTCGGATTGGGAGAATTATCTACCATCAGTTCTTTTTGCTCTCAGAACAGTCACACACGAAAGCACTGGTTTTACACCAGCAGAATTAGTTCATGGCAAAAACCTACGAACACCAGTCACTTTACTTTATGAGCAGTGGCTAGAACCGATTGAAGAAAGTAATAATGTTGTCAGTTACGTTTTCGAACTTATTAATCGAATGAAGAAATGCCAAGAACTTGCCGTGGAAAATATGAAAGAAGCTCAACAACGGAGGAAAACATGGTACGATCGAAATGCAGTCAAAAGAGAATTTGCTAGAGGAGATTTAGTTCTTGTTTTATCAACGAATCGTCAAAATAAACTAGAAGTACAGTGGAAAGGACCTGGAAAAATAGAGCAAAAATTTCAGAAACCAATTATATTGTAAGTTTCGAGGAACAAAATGAGCCAAATCAAGTATATCACATTAACATGCTTAAACCATATTACAAAGACCAGAAATGATTAATATGATAACTGAAGTGGAAGGAGACTTAGAAATGGAACATTCCTCGTTTACCTTCCCAATCCAAGTATATTAAATTTCTCGGACATCATAGAGGAGAATGAACTCGAGAAAAGTTTGAAGCCCGAGCAAATAGAAGATTTACGAAAGGTTTTATGGAAATATTCCAGTTGTTTTTCAAATAATCCTGGACTAACAAACTTAGTTTGTCACGATATTGAGCTATTAAACAACGAGCCAATGCAAATAAAGCCATACAGACTGTCACCCCGACAGACTGAAATTCTCAAAAAGGAAGATCATAAAATGCTCGATTTAAAAATTATAGAGCCGGGAGAATCGGACTATACATCTTCCATGATTTTGATAGAATCTTCATCAAAGGATCCTCGGCCTTGTATTGATTATCGTAAACTCAATGCTGTTACTAAAACTGAATACTATCCTTTGCCTAATATTGAAGAACGTATCGAAACTGTAGCAAAAGCAAAATATATTACCCTAATAGATTTATCTAGAGGCTACTGGCAAATTCCGTTAGCAGAAAGAGCCCAAAGATATGCAACATTTGTAACTAGTTTTGGAAGTTTCAGGCCTCTACGTTTAACCCTTTGGATTAAAAAAAATGCCCCATATTTTTTTAGCAAAGTTATGACTAAAGGTCCTGGCTGGATGCGAAGGTTTCGCTGTACCATACCATGGATGACATTGCCATTTACTCTAAAACCTGGGAAAGAGCACCTTAAAAATCTTAACTTCTGTTCTAGACAGACTACAAAAAGCAAATTTACGACTAAAAGCCATCAAAATGTAAATTTTCACAAGATCAAGTGACACCTATGCCATGTTGTGATAGGACAAGGACGAACCCCGGACTCCGGATTAAGTAAAGATCCCTGGCTGGTTGTAAAGGAGTATCCTACACACCTAAAACAAACAAAACAGAAGTACGTGATTTTTAGGAATGGTGGGGTAGTAGGGTATTTTCGCCAGTACATACTGAGATTTTCGGAAATTGCTTCACCCCTCACGGACGCTTTGAAGGGGGTAACAAAAAAAGGAAATATACAATGGTCTGAAGTATGTGACAAAGCTTTTAAAATTTAAAAGAGTTGCTATGCAGGAAACCAATTCTGTATGCTCCCGACTTTGATAAAAGGTTTATTATACAAACCGATGCCTCAGACAATGGCATGGGTATAGTACTATGCCAATTAGATGATGAACAACGTGAACATCCTATCTTGTATATAAGCAAAAAAAGAATTATTGTACTACTGAAAAGGAGTGCGCTGCTATCATCTACGCTATCAAGAAACTGCATTTTTATCTGGATGGTCAGCAAGAATTCTTGATTCAAACTGATCATAATCCTTTGGTCTGGCTACAATCCAACGCCAAATGTAACTCTAGATTGATGCGCTGGGCACTCTCATTACAACCTTATAATTTTAAGGTCATTCATCGCAAAGGATCTTTGCACAAGAACGTAGATGTTCTGAATAGAATTAAGTAATGTAACCACGTTCAGGATTTATTTATTTATTTAATGTATATTCAACTGATGTATTTTAACGTTTTCCATTTTTTTCTTCCTATTTAAATGTGGTGTAAAAATATTTGTTTAAAACTTAAAATGTTCGGCCTGAAAATTTGGAAACTTATGAGAGAAGTTATCTTTTCTCTTAAGCAATTGAGCAAGCCGAGCTTATAAACTTTCGAATTTACAGACTTTTCCCTTCGGTAAAAGTCTCTCCGTTGGGGAAGAGGTTGTAACAGCTTTAAATAATATTAAAATCTTGTAGTTTAAATAATTTAAATAGATGAACATTAAGGTATTGTGAATGGCAATATTTGAAACCAGACTCGAGTGCCTCGTGCGACTCTCGCACGAAGAATGTAATTTATTTTAAAATGTTAGAGTATGTTTTATCTTCTTGTTTGTATGTCGCCATTTTTTTGAGTGTTAAATAAAAGTTATTGCTATGTTCCATCATTGGAGTTGCTTCATTTCGCCAGAGAAGCATCACAGTAACAATCATATACTATTAGATATTATATAGATGTAGCAATCTAGGTCGAATTTAAAGTTTACAAGTGAAAGGAACTAGATGTATGAAAAAAATATAAACCATTTTATATAGAAGGTTTTTATTTTTTAGATAAAAGGATGTTTGAGGAAACATTCGACCGTCTAAAATGCAAGGATTTGTATTTATTTAGCAAATGCATTTTGCTTAATGGCTTAGTATTTTTTTAAACAAAACATAATTTGCAATTTTGTTCATATATTATACGTCTAAACGAATTGCATTTCTGTTTAAATATCAGTTTTAAATCATATTGATTGCTGGATATTGAAACGATTCCATTCATTATAATGATCAACGATCTGGGAAAATGCATAGAATCTACTATACGATGGTGTTGACATTATATTCAGTTACCGAGTTTCTAAAATTGAATAGTTTAACTTCCAAAGCAAATGTATTATCTAAAAAAATTGCGTACGCTTCATATAATAATCTGAGTTATAAATTACTTTCAAGAAATTTCCGGAATCTCCCAAAAATGTAACTCAGACACGGTAGAAGGAAAATAAGTTATGTTTATTAAAAAATGTGTGAAAGTGATTCATTACATTTTCCTTCGATGTTTCAAGTTAACTAAAACGAACATAAAATACGCTTTAAGTTTGCACTTTCATTTGGAACTTAAGAATGTATAATTTAATCAGCATCGCTACAGAAAAAGTTTGTTTTATCTGAAAAGTGCGGTTTCGCATTCTCTGCAAAAAGCCCTTTTTGAAACGCTTATCTCACAGATCGTTATCTATCTGTCAATCAAACCATAGACATGTTCTCTTCTTGGTTTATAAATTTTAATCATCGTAGTAATATGGATATAAAATACTTCAGCGTTTGAGCTTAAGCAACACGTGACTCAAAATCGTCACTTATTTTTTATCAGATAAGCTGCTTAACAATATATACATAGGAAAATGTAATTATACTTCACAAATCACTTCTACTGAAGGGTGACAATGACTGAATTTGATCATGCTGTCGTTGGGGCGGGAATAGTAGGATCATGGACAGCTCTTCGCCTGCTGGGTTTAGGAAAAAAAGTACTGCTGTTAGATCAAGTAAGTATTTTAAATATTTCAGTTACAGGGTGAGCGAAAAGTTCGTTAAAATTTTAAAAATTCATAAAAAAGGAAGAAATCATGATAAAGAAGTGCAGTTTGCAAGAAAAGGCTCGCAAGAAAGATGTTATTTACCAGCAAACATGTTTAGTTCAAAATCTCGCCGGTAGAGAGCACTTCTTCTTGTTATATAAATTAAATTATATTTGAGCCTTAGTTACTGACTAAGATAATGATACGTTTGCCAGTTGTCTGACCTAGAACTGGTTTTAAATGATAATCAAATTTCCAATGTGTGTTTAAATAAACACATATGTGCAATAAAAAGTTTAAGTAAATTAAAGAAGTTTTAAGTTCTGCAACAACTTACCCGGGGGTCTAAGAATCTGAAAATGACAGGCTAGATTAATGTATTACATTATTTTGATTTTTAAAAATGCGTACTTTTCATACGCTATAATTTAAAAAATGCTTTGAATGTTGAATTACTGATATACGCACAAATGTAGACGATGGTATTAATAAATGTCATATTAAAATATAGTTCAAGCTCCGATTAAAGAAAAAAGAAGGTTTTATTATTTATATAAGAGTTAAATTGTAGTATCTAAGGAAGTATTAGGATTTTCGTTTCCCTTAATCCACTAGAGTTTTAAAGAAATATTGTTTAACACTATTTCTTTAAATTTTATATAAACATATAAGGTATTTCTTCCGCCTTCTTAGCGTGCTTTTGTGATGCAGTGGCCTTCATTCTGAGCGCGTATTCCCGGCGAGGGCGTTACTCATTTTTCACCTTTCCTTCTAAAAAAATAATCCTTATGTCAACTACAGTGCCGCCTGAACTAAAAGGGTGGTGGATGATGATTTGGCGATTGAGTCCCCTAAAAACCCCAGTCGTACTTTAAAAGAAGGAGTACATAAGGTATTTCTCCGGACTTCTTAGAGTGACTTCGTGGTATAGTCGTCTGCATGCTGGGTGCGTATTCCAGAGGTTCGATTCTCGGAGAAGGTTTTGCTCATTTTTTCATCTCTCCGGGTCTAAATAACTTAATGTATCTACAAACAAACTTAAGTGAAGGGGTTTAAAAGAGACACTAAGCTCTATTTTGAAAAAATGTTTCCATCGAAAAATGAGATATGAAAAAGAAGAGAAATTTTACACGATTGCTTATTTACCGTTTCGTCGCTTACTGTAAGAAAGACGATATCCCCCCCTTCTGCTAAATAATGGAAATTCATTTGCTCAAGATACTCCGTGTTCAGCTTATTTTTTTACGAGAGTCCCATTTATTCAACGTCATCTATTTTACAAAATTTCTTCTGCGTATAAATAACAAAGCACCATGGTTAGCTAATGTAAATAATTCTGTGAGAAAAATGTTTAATTGCAAAATTGGATTACCAATGTAAACGTAAGGGTACTCTTTTATCACAGAACTATGCCTGAGAATGGTAAAAAATCAAGATCTGGACAAACCAACATCGCAGTGTGTGTAAAATCCTTTTAAATTCTTCTCTTCGAATGACTAAATTTGTCTGTAAAAACCTTTCTATACTCTCCTCCATTTAATGTTTTATTAAAAGCGTATAAAACCTCTTACATAACTTTGACCGAAATTTAAACTCATCGAAATTCAAACATTTCTATGTTTAGAGACCATTTTTTGTAGTTGACAGACCATGAAAGGCGATTTTATGACTGAAATTGTCAAACTGCTTGTTAAAGCCCTTATTTTGTTGGGGAAATGATACTTTCTTTAATCCTGAAGAGTTTTCTACAATTTCTATTGTTTTTAAATTTGAAATAATTAATTAAAATGTTTGGCTGGATTAAACTCTTTCGTAAGCCGTGTTAGATAACCCTGCTGTAGAACATAGTGAAACTGGCAGCTGGTCTAAGTTCAGATGATAATAAAAATTCCGAGTATACTGTATTGTTTTGACTGGCAATGCTTGCAAAAAGATTGAATTAATAAAGTTTTAATTCTGTTACCAGACAAAACTCGACACAATTTATCAATTTATGTGCCAAATCATCTTTGCTTAAAACAAAATAAAAGATATCTACATATTGCTTGCCACTGATTAAAGCTTTTTCTTGTATTGACTACAGAAATATAATAAATAATGAATTAATACGTATGCTACAAACAAAATAATTACACTGAGTTAAAATACCTACATTATATATGAAATGAATTATGAAATTAAAAAATTGTGAAATAATAGACCAATTAAAAAGTATTTTGAGTAAATCGAGTCCAAAAACAAAATTTGCAGAATTAATGTTCCTATACTTCAAGATTCGGGCTTCTTCCAGATTCAGACTGTAACCATTAAAGTGCGAAATCTGTTATTTCCTAGATTACCTAGTGAATTTATGAAATAAATAATCACGTGGTTAAAATATGTAATAAATTATCAATTTCGTGCTGTAAGTTCTTATAACACACAATAACGATCTATATTCCAAGTGTCAAATAATCGACAATATTTATCCCGCTTTTTAGTATTAACTACTATACTCGTACTGCAATAAACAGGATGACTTTATTTAAAATGCCGAATTATAAAGATTGTAAAGTGAAACTCATAATCAGAAATAACACATAATCTTCAACTTACTATTAAGTGTTATAACAATGATATTTAATATTACGTTTCTCTTAAGAATATGTAAAATAGTGCTTTCATTCACTGGATTAGGAAGATATATACAGTTGACAGTATTGAGTATTATTTCGCCTCAATTTAATAACGAGGTGCTAGTTTAAAAAAGAAGATTACATAATGCCATTAGTGAAATAGGTATGGTATGTTCACAAGAATCCAGTAAAAAGGCAACTATTTAAAATGAAATGAGCTTATCTACACATCATGTTTAAAACCATGATTTAGAAGTCAATGTTGCAAGATCTGCAGATTATATTTTAATGAGCTTGTAGGGATTTATATTTATTTTAACTAACAATTTAAAGTTTGATTTTAGACCTCTCCTGTAAGTCTTCATTCCCCTAATTGTCAGTTAAATGATGTAGCGCGGGTGAACGAATACAGATTTTCTCTATATTGAAGGAAGCCGTTAAAAGCCGAGTTTCGGTAGGAGAAACAGAGAGTTAGGCTCTAACTGCCGTCTGTGCCGTAGGTTACGTTTGCTTATTGCTGCTTTAAGTGGCTTAATTGCATTGCTTTGCTGCCTCTAGTTTAGAAGGGGGTTAAAATTATGGGATCTCGCTGAGCCCTGTAGTACCCCTGTTATCACTTGTTAAACATTTCAATTTTTAGTTTCAATTATCTGACTTAGTTACCGCTAGTAGTTACCGCCCAAGTAAGGGCGAAGTTTGTTAACGTCGAGCTGACGCATTGTAAATTTTAAAGAGTTAATAAAGGGTATTTTAACCCTTCTCCTGTGTAGTTTCCTACTACTCTAGTATACAGACAGAAGTTCATTCACTGTACTCTACAAGCTGAATGCTCATAGAGAAGGAGAAAATTCTAAAGAATATTTATAAATTCAAGCTCTGAAAATGAAACTTTTGTCAGATAAAGGGGATTACAGCTCGTATGCAGGTACACAATGTTGACGGAGGAAGAGGTGACGCCAGATTTGTTTTAGCTGTTATAGCGAAAATAATCGAAGAAGGAGTTTCCGGTTGGGAACAAGAAACAGCCCCCAAAACAGTATTCCTGATGCCGAGTCAGCATCTTTGAAAAACTAATGAACTAATTAAGATTGAAATCGCTGTGGCCGGTTTGCACAGCTCAAAGATTAGGCACCAGTCAGGAATTCTATAAATGTTCACGAAAATTCAATGTGTTAAAAAACATTTATTCATTTTCGGAATAATGTTCTATGCAGTTTTAAGTGTCATTTTAATAATCCATGTTGCAACATTCTGTATGTTTTGTAAATCTGTTAAATTGTTCAGTTTACACTTTAACTACATGTAATTAGTTATTCTCTGAAATAACTAGCTAAAATTAGGAATTATTAATTTATTACAAAATTTAACTGAATCTGTTATTTCAAGAAATATCTAGGCAATGTATGAAATAACTGAATACCTGATATACATTTTAATGGTAACATATATTGATCAGTATCAACAAAATTAGGGGAGTAGGGAAGAAGAAATTCTGATAAAGGAAGAAGGTGAAGAAATGCCCACAGTTTTCTGCTTTATGAAGACCCAAAGTATGTGAACAATTTAAACAATTACGTCATAACTTAGTAAATGATAAAGTAGCTGGTTTACATAGTGAATTCCTGTGTGTGCTCATAGCAAAGCCTCGAGGGCTATCTGCCTAAGGAAAGGATGCCTTCGTGGAGGACTTTCTAAGGGAAACTGGCTCGTATACACGTTACACATGGGGAAAAACACGAAAACGCCCATGCAGCCAGCCCGTTCGCGCGGGATTCGAACCTCGGACCGAACTACCAATGTTCAGTGACTTTACCGCTCGGCCTCTGGTGGGCTTACATAGTGAATTATGACTTTCGTTATGCTTTTTGCATTATACAGAAAAATTATTTTTGCATTTTAAAACATTAATCATTTAATATAGTTCAGAAATTAAATATAAGGCATTTTACCCTAAATTTTGCTACCTGTTCTTTACTCACTAACGCAAGATGTACATTTTCTTCCTTCTCTATAATGCATTTCAAGAGTAAATCTATCATACAAATCAATATTCACCATTCCCTACAGCATCGTCTTTGAGTCGACTATCTGTACAGATAATTAAAAAGCAATAGAGATAATTTAAAGTCATTTAAAACTGTGGGTGATCGTCTTATGGATGGTTTCGTTCGAGAGCGGGTGTGACATTTGTCAATTATAATAATTATTCCAATTCTATGTTATGCAAATTTATTTGATGTAATATAATTTTATATTTAAATTCTCATATTCTGGGATACTGATGATGATAACTATTATTTAAATGAATTTTTACAGTTCAGAGAACCACATACTCGGGGAAGTTCTCAAGGCCAAAGTCGGATCATACGGATAACTCACATAGATAAATTCATTACAGAAATGATGCCTTTAGCATTCGAAATGTGGGAAGAAGTGGAAGAATATACCAAGAAGAAACTAATCGTGTAAGAATAAAATTCTTTTTCACTCATATTATCGAAATATTGATTTCTTTTTTGAAATAAATACAATTAAGAGAAAAAAATAACATATTACAAAAAACCGTTAGTCGAAATTATATCTACATACAGCAATATCAGATTTTGTATGAGATCTACTGTCACGAATATGCAACCATTGCTTGGATACATAATAAATTAAAAAGTGCTAAAATTAAATCGTTTCGATATCAATGCCTGAAACCAAAGTAAAGTGTTGATATTTGCTTTCTTATTGTCTCGATAACTGTAATATTTATATCATTTACCTTTTTCATCTACTTTTAACATAAGTACATTTAACAGAGTACATATGGTTATTGCGTTGCACATTTTAAATGCTATAAGCATAATTTTCAACAAGTTGATCATGCATTAATTTTTGAATATTTTACATAATATGCATATTAATACTAGTTTGTCAATAAATTAATAGATATATATTATGCAGAATTACATTATTAATAACATAATGACACCAAAAACATAAATATCAACATAATAATACATAAAACATAAATATCGAAAACATAAATACCATAGTAAAAATTTGATGTATGATGCGAGGAAATGCTAAAATATTTGCAAGCCAATAAATTTAGGAATATGAAATTGTGCTGACCAGTAGCACATAATCCTAAAGAGTGCAAAAATAAATAAACTCAACTGCATACCACTCTAGAATAGTAATTTGAAATCAAAAGTCTCGAAACCAGAAGATTCAGGAATCTGAACATTTTCAGGTAATTTATAATGTACATGAGAGCTGATGGCTTTGTTATAATTGTCTTTGTTATAATTGTAAATTAATTATTATAATAATTTGTTATAATTTTAAATTACAAATTGCTCAATCGCGTCTTTCTGATTTTGTGAATTATTTCATAATTTATTTTCAATTCCATAGGTCCTTAAAGGGTTAAAACAATCTGATTTTCATGTCATCGTATATTATAACTTATATATCAAAGGTTAAATGACGGGGCAAAAGCATTGTAATAGCCAAGCTGACAGCATTCGAATGCCCAGTTTAAATCACTTCCCAGAATATAATTTTAACAGCTGCGTTATAATTTTTTAACTCGAAAGAATCCCCATATTTGAATTATTGAATTTATAAAAAATATTTATTATTACAGTCTGGTTTAATGTAATTTCATAGCTTCAGATATATTTTACCTTTGTAATCCTTTCTTTCTTGTTTAGTATCCACCTTGCTTATACATGTAAACTTTAAACTTTCTTCCTTCAGTCCCATATTGTAGAAACGGATTTTAAATAATTGAATTATATATTCAGCAAATATGTTACAGATATACTTATTGAATTTAATCCGTACATTTTGTATTAAATTTTAAGAATTTAATCCGTATATTTTGTATTAAATTTTCATTTCAACTGAAATTTCTTTTTATGTTTGAATTTAGTTTGAATTTTATATTATTATAATTAAATGGCACAAGTGTCAATAGACTTTGTGCCATAACTCAATCAACCAGCCAAACACAAATTCTCAAAATTGTCCCTTATTGTTGAAATTGTTCATTTTCATGGAATAGTGCTAAAACTACATCGTAATAAATTAACAATTACTTCAGCTTGATTGCTAAAGAAACAAGTTAAAATTCTAAGATGTGACATGTTTTATTTGAAATAATTTACTATTATAACATATAGATGTTTTACATAATTTTTGTATGCAAACAAAATCGCTGGTGACTGATCTTCGAATATTTAATAATTATTAACATCAGATTGTCATCACTTTGAAGTGAAAGATAGCTCCTGGACAATTAATTAGGTAAGAAGCATCTGAAGTTGTCTTATCACAATTAAGATAAAAACTGTGAGCGTAATTTCATGGCAATGAGATTGCATAATTTCGTCCAGATTTTTATTATTATTCCAGAAAATATTTAACAGATGGAATGAATTCAGATTAAATAGAAGATGGAAAATGTTAATTTCACTGCGGTTTTTTCACTTTTATTTTATCAGATTATTCTCTTCATCATCGTTTTCTCAACCAAAATATATTGCTGAATTAACTGATGAAACTTTGAAATATCTCAGTAAGTATTGCTGAATTGTGGTTTATTAATATCAGTATACTTAAAGGTAAGGTCTTAGTATGGGAAAACAACAGAAAATATAAAGGGAAGTAATTAGTCATGTTGGCATCAATAAATTGGCAGCAGCAAATGGATTCATCTTTAATTTGATCACTTTTCGAATTATTGCAAAGGAATATATAAAACAGAATGTGGATAATAATGGCAAACCGCTACATAATGTAACCTACTTGATAACATTTATACAAAATGTGCATTTATGTAAATGCATATATTTGTCCAAAAATGGGTATAGTGTTCTTCATTTCTTTAATTATCATAGTAAAAACTATCCGAATGAGGTTAGCGCGACAGAGTTTGTCATTTGAGCAAAATATTTAGACCTGTTCAATAGAAGTACCAGAAGGAAAAACCATTACTTTGAACAACGAAAAACACGCATTAATTGTCTGAATTAATGAGCTATGTAATGATACTTTAATTGCACGTAAATTTAATTGCACGAATTTTCACTTTTTTGGCCTATTGATCAGGTGTTAACAACTAGGGGGCCATTCCTTTTGAAGGCATTTCATAATTTAAGAGGATACGGGTTATGAAGTTGATTATGTGGTCCAGAAGGAGCTTTAATAAGCTTGATAAGAAAATAAAACTTCTGAGGACATATGACTTATATTCAGAGAATATGCTACACACATATTCATATAATTTAATCCCTAATTTGTTGACAAACTAGAAGGTGAAACTCCAAGAAGGGCAAGAAAGTGAGGTAAAAGTGGCGAGACCGTTGTCTCCCGTACTGCATGTGGGCCATTCAGATGGATAGTGATGAGAGATAAAAGTGAGGCCACGCATGAAAACAAAAACAGTCACGTCAGAAGAAGTAAACAAAGTCAGCCTAGTTGTCAGGCAAAGCCAGTTGTAAACTCTTATGTATCTGAAGAGCAAATGATCTGATAAAATTATTTTTTAAAAGGGTTTGGTAACTAAGAATTTCTGAAAAAGTTTTAATAATCACGGTTAGGTCTAGTTTCGAAGAAAAGTTTATTTAGTAATGTGGTCCACTATACAGTTGAATTTCAAGTCGTCATAGATTAGTTTGATTCTAATCAGATAATGAGCATTAACTATTCTTATCAGAATCTTATTCTGTATTTCCTGAAGTTTGTGGGGTTATGTCTCTGAAGCTACCCCCAGGCTGCAGATGTGTAACATAGAACTGACCTTAAAATGCATAGATATATCCTTTTGTTTTTGTTGAGAGACAGCCCAGAGTAATATCCTAGAAGTACAGAAAGTTGGCTGGTGATACCACAGGATTTTCCTACGACACTTTTAATATGACAAGTCCATGTGAGGCTTTGGTTAATAATGACCCCCAGATAACTTATATTATTTACACAATTCCCAATTTCCTCCAACAAGTAGACTTTATAGACTCTAAATAGACTGTCAATGCTATTTTCCGAATCTTGCGCCTCTTTACCAAAAGGAACTTAGATATTGAGGCATTTATACTGATACTCCATTTCTTGTATCAATCCACAATACCTAAAACAAAATCCTGAATTTTGGAGATGGCATTATTGACTTGGATAAGAGTTTATGGCTACCGCCGTATCTTCGACATAGCAAGCTAACATACAGTTATGATCCAGTTTATCTTTTTAAAAATCAATTATATAAAAAAGGTAGAGAACGGGTGCAAGACAGGATCTCTGGGCACATCTGGAGTGATGTTTTTGGAGGCTGCATGGACATTTTCTTGACTGACAGTAAAAATTCTGTCGGTAGGTAAGAAATTGAGGAGAAGAATAATTTCCCGACAAATTTTCATCTTGTTCAGTTTTTAATTCACCTCCTTATTCCAGAGTCGGTCGCATGCTTTCGCCACTTCCAGCATAAGAAGTGCATGGCATTTCATATGGTACAGAGATGCCATGATAAATTAAACCAGCTCGACTTGTTGCTCTGAAGTAGACGGTTGCTTCCTAAATCCATATTGGTTGGAGAAAAGTAGTTAAGATATGGATTCATCATTTATAAAATAATGCGGTCGAAAATTTTGCTGATATTGTAAAACAAACTTATTGGGCGAAAATTCTCCAGTTTGGTTTTGTCCTTTCCAAGACTCGCGAGAACAAATGGCACTTTTCTAAGGATTGGACAAATATTTCAAGAGTCGGGCAGGGTTTGATAATTTCAGTTAATTTGGCGATAATGTTGGAAGATATATTGCCTAATATGTTGTTGATATTTTCTTCAAGGCCAGGAGCATCATTAATTTCCAACTTACCTATTGCATTTTGATAGTTTTGATTTACATCTGCAATTTTATCTCCCTTATTTTCGGTACGAAATTTCCTAATTTCTTTTTTAATCTTCTTGCTAAAGCATTTTAATTCTGTTTCGATTGCCGGATCCCACGTTACGTAGAGGTTTTCTTATTGTAATAAGTTACTTTTTATTTTTGTAGATTTTTCCTGCAGAATTCTTTACATTCATAATATTGATGGCTTCATGATAAGCGTCTTTTAAACTCATGGCACATTCGTCAATTGTTTTACCAATACAAATATTTGAGAGACCTTTGCTTTTCGGCAGGTTTTGTGTTGAGGATATTATGAAACAGCAGCCACTCTGTATGAGCTTTATCCTGGGCTATTTGATTTTTAATATTACCAGTGCAACTATGATAAAGATGTGGTCCGAAGTGAGCGCATCTATTATCTGTTCCCATAGAGATACAAGATTTCGTAAGTGTTAAGTCTAAAATGTTAGTCTTTCTGGGCGATTTTGTTTATTTGATTACGGCAAAGCGCACTAGAGTTATCTGCCTAAAAGAAGGGATCTTTTGTGGAGGACTTCCTGCAGGAAACTGGCTCGTATACACGTTACGCATCGGAAAAACTACGAAAAAGCCCATTCAGCGAGCCAGTTTGCCTGGAATCGAATCCAGGTCAGATCTACTCGTCTTCAGCGACTTTACTACTCTGCCATTGGTGGGCCCTTCCTCAGTGAAATGGTGTGTATGATGACAGTTGGCACAGTGTGGTTTGTTCTCTTTTTTCTTGGTGCAATCTCTGGAAAATTGTGGCCCGGCACATTTGGCATATCTGCGTTAAAGGGGAATGAGGTCAGCCTTTTATTTAACTCTAAAATACTTATTTTATTTCATGACTATAAGAAACTACTTTTCTGTTTTTTAGGTTTTTTTTAACTTATTGTTGTTTAATTTATAAAACACGTTAAAACGTAATCTCAATTTAAACAAATATATACTTGTATTTTTCGAGTTTTGCAACGCGAGGGTTATGATTTTCTAACAATGGTGGAAAGTATCACACGGCAAAATAGGTTGAGAACCACTGCTATATTCACTCAAGATGGAAAATCAAATTATTTAACATGATTCTGTCACATCTGTTGACACATTTGGTTAAAACACTAGAGCCAGAATATGCAGACTCGTGTAAGTTTACGGAAGTTAGCGAGTGCCGCAAAAGGATAGAACACATCTACTTGAATGTCTTTAAAGAAGAAAACTTTTAACTGACTTTACTATGAGATGATTATAACAAGTTTACACTTTATCATTTTAACGTCTATTCCTTGATTCAAATATAACGTTAAATAATTTTTATTTAAAAATGTCCTATACTTTGCATTAGTTTGCGTATGCTGAAAGATAAAGAAAAGACAGTAGTAATATACTCTCTAACATTCTCTCTATATTACGATCTCTTATTTTTTGTAGAAGATAATCGGAATATATCGGAATTCATATTACGATTTTAAATGTATTATGATTGTCACAATTTGAGAAAGTTATACAACAAAAAGAAAGAAACTATATTATTGGTAAACAGGGTCTTTCTAACTGGATGAAAATCTGATTAAAATCATGGATTCAAGAGAGCACTACTTAGTGTAATAAATAATCTATGAAGTTTAAAGAAGTCAAAATATTTTTATGGAAGAGTACTTTAAAGCCATGTTTAGATTTTGTTGATAGGTTGGTAGATTTTTTGCTAGGGAGACTGCCCGGTTTTTGCAGCCTAACCTTGATTAATCTGAATTCTTTCAGGAAAACTGGATTTCTGTGTTTGGATGCATCTAAAGAAAGTAGTGATGATTATAAGAAATACGTAAAGTACATGAAGGAGACCTCCCCAGAGAACTTTGTGGAGTTGACTGCTACAGAAATGGTAGCTAAATATGACGGAAAAATTAAATACGATTCACTTGGCGGAGTCTTTTTGGACAAAACTGGAGGAATAATGCTAGCACACAAAGCGCTTCTCACTGTTCAAGTAAGTTATTAAGTATTCTTAAAACCACATACAAAGTACTTATCAGCTACAATTATTTAAAGAGCTGACATTAGAAGTACTTCTTTGATGCATATTTTCCTTACGTTCTGAGACAATGAAAATCATAATTGAAAACTAAAACTGGCTTAAATGAAATTCAGGAGGCTTTATTGCTTTCTTGCTAAAACGATGAACGTTTGAAAATACGATGGATATCCACCTGCAATATTTATGAATGTCGTCTCTTTCGACATCGAGCATGTTTTGACGACCTATTTACCTTCAATATGAAGTAAATTAAAAAAAAATTCTGTCTTAAAGGCAACCAACCTGCGTTATCTATGGGAGGGACTATGTAATGGAAGAATATGATGTAAATTTTTCAGGACATTGTAATTAAGATTTTACATAGTTTACATATGAATGAGCGTACTAATACCTAATACGAGATTTAAATAGACGTTTAATATTTAAATAGAAGCGGATAATATTAAAAAATTAAAATTAAAACAATTAAAATTAAAATTAAAGACAAATAAATTAAAATATCTTCTATTTTGGTCAATTTCTCTAAGAAAATATTAGTTTTCACTTCATGCATAATTACAGTTCTCAAATAAAAATTAAATAAGAACGTATTTATATTTGCCATTTACAATGCTTTTTCCTGAAGTATAAGGCATTTTGTCATTTTTTTTTTTTTTTTTTTGAACTTCACTTGGTCAGTTATAAGTAACTGACCAAGTGACTGAAAGTGATATTGCACTTTCTATTTAATATTATATAGAGCAATATATGCAATGCAATAATATGTCATTTTTCAGCATCTAATTTTTGTATAAGGAAATCAAATCTCAAGTTAACGAGAAAATTAACGAGTTAACTCGTTAAATTTACTAGTTAAAGTTATCAGTAAATTAATGAGTTAACGAGTAAAGATAAGAGTTTGACGTTGCAGATCTCAATGATTATTTGTGTGCGCTTTGCAAAAGTTATCAATGCATTAAAAAATAGTAATTTCTTACTGAGTACCGTAATTGCTTGGTAATTCGAAATGGAGTACTACAACAACTGGTTGCCTCAATTCTTTTAAATGGCAAAGATGGTGCGTGCGCAAACGTTTTGTCGAATCTCCAAAAAACAACATTACAATTTGAGTCAGATTCTAGAGACTTCGGCGAATCAAAAGCTTACTTCATAATCTTCTTTTGCATTTGTGCTGATCCTACACTTAAAAGCATTTATTCCCATAAGCCATGTTAAATGCTTTTAAATACAGAAATATAACATTGCTTAGGTTTCCTATTAATCGTATCTGACACATTTCTTTTATATCAAGATGCTAGAAAAATTTTGCAAACAAATAAAATATCATCCTGTTTTTCGATATAATATACTACAAATACTATGAACAATAACATTGTAAGGATTATGTTAATTTTATGAACAGTTAAATTTTGAGTTAAACTTCCTTTTCTATCGATTCTTACTTCAACGTACCCGTTCCGGCCAGAACGTAGTTTCAGAATCACGTCTGAATGTTAATGAGGAAGAGCGGTATATAACCGCGAAGATCTACAGTCTTAGTGAGAGATATACTAAGATATTCTGCCTGCACGCGTCCGCCTTTTTAGGCTACTCTCTCGTAAGCTATTATTACGCTCGGCCGCACTTTAAACCCTTGATAGCTTCACAGTCGATTAGCGTTAAGGGGCCAACTTTGTTATAATCTTGTAGCTTCGGCTATATCTCTTTAGTTAAGATTAGTTTAGTTTAATTCTTACGTTCTTGCGTTCAAGCTCAAGTGGTCGGCTTTATTGTATAACTCCAAGACGGAGTTTTGTTAAAACTTTAGTTGGAATAATAAGGGGTTATTTTACCCTTCTATCTTGTTGTTTCTTGTCACATGAACTACACAGTGGAGAATCCTACAACATAAGTAGAGCTCCAGCTCCTAAATAATCTGTTTGTTACAACGAATTAATCTATTTAATGGTTTAAATGAAATTTTGTATTCATGTATTGGAAACAACATTTCCGGATTTTAATATCAAAGATTAAAATCGTAACTGATTATTCACACGTTTTAGATATTTATAGTATCTGAAAGTTAGTATAATTTTATTTTTCATTTTATTTTGCCAGGATTTATATCGTCTACGTGGCGGCACCTTCTGGGACAACTGCCAAGTATCTGAAATTATCCCTGAAGAAGAAAAGGTAAAGATCGTAACTGCTAAAGGAGACGTCGTTGTCCGTTCTGTAGTGGTTTGTGCAGGTCCATGGACTAAGAAGTTGCTCACTCCTACACTAATTCCTTCTCTGCCACTTCAGGTAAGTATCAATATTGTCCTTCTATGTAAAATACTGTAAGTAATACAAGATGTTAATGATTCAATGTAAAATTTTATGAGTAAGGGAAATCAAAAAGTAATTTGGAGAAATATGAGGGATAAAGTTTCTCAAACAGTGGGAAAGAAGATGATTAGTTTTTTCTTCTAATTTGACAGGTCAGGAGATTCATCAGCCTGATTTTCTTATCAGGTCCAAAATGTGTTCAGATTGCAAAAACGTTGGCATGCGAAAAGAAGAAAGTGAGAAGGTACTAGATTTTTTGGGTTGTGAGAAACCAGGATAAAGAGCTTCCATACACCGAAGGATAAAGAGACTGCTTTGAGGACGTATATATAATGAACCTTTTGTAAGACAATCGCTTATGCTTTTAAACTATTTTGGTTTCCTGTTGGAGTAGTCCTCTTACAGAAGAACAGAATCGTCGATAGCGACTCTTGATGTGACTAATGGAGTCATCTCATTCAAGAGTTTTATAATTACATATGAGTGTTGTTGTAGAAGTCGCTATATTATGTCGCTCTTGTAACTCCTCGCTTGAGTCTTGGTTCTTTTGAAAGTAGGTTCGTCAATTTAGGAACTCCCACCAACAACCACGGTATTACTATGCACATCTTAAATTTACACACACAAAAAAAATCCCTATACATTTCTGTTTACATTGTGCTCAAAACCATTTTCTTTTCTCCAATCCCCACACATGCACATCACGTTCTTCTTCGGTAATCCTTGTTGCCCAATTTCACCTTCTCTTGGCCCATCAGTCCTTCTGAACAGTTTTTTTAGGTTCTTCCGTCGTAATCTCCCTCCCCCCAGTTCTTTTGTCTCTCCGGAGGAAGAGGTTCTTGAAAAGTGTCCTCAGAAATGGACCTTTACAACTTTAACAATAGTGTTTTATGAACAAAATTATAAATTTTTCATAACGACAAATAGTGAATAATGTATAAAAAGGAACAAAATTAGGAAATATTTATTTTTCACTTAAATTTATATTGTAAACAAACATTATTTTAATATATGTAAAGAAGATTCTATTTGTTATGAACAGAAAACTTATATTATGAGTTCTGTTTTGCAATTTTAAAAATGCTCATTTTAAGTACTGATTAAAATACTCAACCAATAATATTTGTCAATAACTGATATAGTATTAACTCACTTACTTTGTTACTATCAATCATCTGTCACACTTTCTTCCTGTTTGTGTTAGACCATCAAGCATTTCTAATATATTTTAAAATTGTTTAAAACTGGTCATGTTTTTATTTTCTGTAATTAGAATACCTTACTCTAAAAGTTGGTCATTAAAATCTGTAGTTTTTAAAAAATTGCATTAGTGAGTTGATTACATGCACTTAGTTGTGAGTCTCGAAATAAATACGAACGACATATATTACATCTGATGCAGAAATTATCCAGTGATACCCTTAAACATTGATTTATAATTATTTTACAACTACACAAACAGGGATGCAATAATTAGTATAAACATCTTAAGTATGTCATGATTCGTTTAGAAAATGCTCCGTTAAAACCAAGCTTATATAAAAAACTATAATTCACTGAAATAAGGATAAGATTAATGTTTACCAAATGCATATAAACTGTCATAAGATGCAGTTTTTTTTCTTTTTGAGATAAATTTCTGGATTTGGATAATGTTTTAAATATTTTAGGTTGATATCAGATTACACTTTTAGTTGGTTCCCTTAATGAACGTATCATGTTTGTTGTCTTAAATTAACTATAACTATGATAGTTATAATTCCTTTCTATTCGTATATAAAACACAATGAGGCTTTTAGTTATCCTGCAATTAATTCCTCGCTTTCCTACCTATGAGTAATTCAACTTAATTTACGACCTCCCCATATTTTATTTCTAATATCCTGTAAAACATTAATGCAAAGTTATTAGAATTATGATAATTTTAAGACAAATATATAATTTAAAAATACTGCTTAATTGTTATTTCTTCATTTATAATATTCATTTGCACATTACGTTTTACAATTTATATTTGCTAGTTTAAGATGCCTTTAGACAGTCTTCTGAAACTTTTGTTAAGTTCGGTTTGGTTTATTTAATTATGGCAAAGCAATCGAGGGCTAACTTCCTAGGTGAGGGATGCCTTCGTAGAGGACTTTCTAAGGGAAACTAGCTCGTACGCGCGTTAGACGTGCGAAAACCACGCAAACTCCCATGCAGTCAGCCCGTTCGCCAGGATTCAAACCCAGACCGAACTACCAGTGTTCAGCGACTTTACTGCTGGGCCACTGGTCACTGGTGAACCGTAATTTTTGTTAAGTGTTTTATTTTAGTATTTTCTAGTTAGATACAAATAAAAGTATAATTTCGAAGAATCTTGAATGCATCTTACATTGCCAGCAAAGTCTGAAAAACAAAATTTGGTTTTACCAATTGCGGAAAAAATACGTTAAATTTCCTTATTTTAGTAGTTTGTTTAAAAGCTAATTTCATTTTTGAAAGCTAAGCTAGGTTTCTTAAAGGAAAGAAACAGAAAAGAAAAGAAGGAATTTTATGAAAACACCTCTGTAAATTGAATATTAATATAAATATGCTCTACAGCCTGAACATATTTGTTTTTAATCATCAAAATTGCGAAAATGTGTCAAAAAGTAGTTTTATGCGTTTAGTAGAAAACTTCATTTTCTTTGATGTAATAAATTACTTTCTATGGCATGAACCGTAATTTGTTAATATGAAATATATATGTAAACAAACTTATCGCATAAAACATATCACATTGAATCAATACTGTATATCAAATGAAGTACTGTAAACTAAAGTTTCTTTAATAAAGCTGTAATACATATTTTTGCTAAAATAGAGTATGTGTATGTGTAGTTAATTATGGCAAAGCACACTAGGGCTATCCTCCTAAGGGAAGGGATGCCTTCGTGGAGGACATTCTAAGGGAAACTGGCTCGTATACACGTTACACACGGGGAAAACCACGAAAACACCCATGCAGCCAGCCCGTTCGCTGAAATAGAGTTTTTAATATGTACACATGTAGTCTACATTGCTTTAACAGTGCTACATGCAAACGAAAGTAAACCATAAGCATTTAAAATTAATTCTAAACGAGACTTGCATTATGCTTATTTTAAAATTAATATTAATTTTCATAAATTTAAGGTTCTTTCTTAGATATGCAACACTAAAACCTGATATGCAAACACTAAAACAGTTACGAAAGCTTTTGGTAACATGCTTTCTATATGTATTTCGGTTACAATAATATATTAAGAATTTCTCTAAAACTTGATTCTCAATTATTTATTCTTCCTTTACCTTAGCTAGCTAAACTCTTTACATCGAATATAATACACGGCTTAATATTTCTGTATCTAAAATAGAATTCTTTAATTTTTCAGCCACTTTTAATAAAGGTATATTATTGGAAGGAGAAAGTCAAGGGAGCCTATTCTGCAAAATCTGGTTTTCCAGCTTTTCTTCAAATCTCAGAGCCTCATATTTATGGGCTGCCCGGTATTGAATATCCTGGTCTCTTAAAAGTAAGTAGTGCTCTGTTAAAAGAAATATTGCATAAAGAGGTTCATACAGAAGTTAATAACAACTAAACTCAGTAATATAGTTTCTTTAAATAATAAAGGAAAATATATGAAATAACAGAGTGCTTTTACGATATCGCTTATTTTAGGCAAAATGTTTGTAAGTGTTTTGGTATAAAAAAGTGTTCAAATTCTTAGAAAGTTCACGGGGAAAAAGACGCTTTGTATTTCTAATTTGTATCATTTAAATGACACTTGACTACGAGCTTAAACTGCTTGAATCTGCTTATATTGAAAATTTCTGTAAATGTGATTCAAAATTCTTTAATCAAATACACAATTCTTGCGGGAGAATTAAATAAAAAATAAAATGAAAAGGTATTAAAATGCTAGGTGACCTACAAATTATGTACGTCATCAATAAATAAAATGAACAAACCTATTATTATATTTTATGAGTTTAATGATGTAAACTAAACAATTACAAAAAGTTAAAATTCTTCAGAATATTAACATCTTCGAGATTTCCATTGGCGCTCTTTCTTAATGTAAAACTTAAATTAGTACTAAGTTTGCAGTATTAAATAAAGACATCTGCACCTCGTACCCTCACCAATAATTTCGTAGTCTCTTAGTACTGCAGTGAGTTCAGTTGTCGTTAAATGCCTGCTTAAAACTCCTTATTATGTTGCGCATCTACGCTTGAAACTTTATTCGTTTGAAGCTAAGCATTTCAATTAAACATAATTTATTAGGGTGTTCGAATATTATAAATAAATGTAGTACCAGGCGTGTAGATACATTCTCTCTGTTTTGTGAATTTCTGTCTTAAGATTTTCTTTTCTCTTCACTTAACTGACATTATGAGAATACATTATATCGTCTTCGTTATAATTTTGGAAAACTTTAGTGACACAAGTCTCCTTCCAAGCGCAATATTTATGTTTCCTTCCAAGAATAGAAAAAAGTCATGATATTTCAAAATAGTTTCAATTTCGTATTACTGACCCAGTTCTATACAGGCAGATATTGATCAAGCAATAGCACGGATTGCATTTTTCACATTTAAACTGATCATTATCATTTAAAGTAATCATCAGTTATGTGGAAGTTGTATGCAACCTAATTGCTTTAACTGTTAATGCTGTTAATCTCTCTCTCTCCGCGAAGAAATCGAGGTGATTTGTCGCCTCATTCTTATCCTTCATTAAAGCAATACCAAATTAGAAGAAGATTTAAAATAATTTTTCATTCGTCTCATAAAATTTGGACAGTTCGTGTATTATCACAAACATTAACAAGACATCGATTGCTTACAGGATTAACAGAAAAGAAGAGTTAAAGTAAAATTTCATGTGGTATTTACAAAACGAAATCCGCCTATAAGTTTGGTCTTGGGCTCTCGACTCATATGAATCAGCATGGCTAGCAAAAGCTTAAAATGTTTTAAGTGAATTTCAAAACTCAGCGAAAATGCACTGGTTCTCAAAAAATAAGCAACAAACGCTAAAAGAAAACGTACAGATGTAAAAATTGAAACTAAAGAATACAATTTACGTATGACGTAGAGACCCTTGAATTCAAATAGAGTGCTGTTGAATTGAGCCCGTGAACATCGCCGTCGAAAGAGGCCATTACAGAGGAGAAGGAGGCTTGATTGTATGGGCTGGGATAGCAACGAACGGCCGTACCGACCTCTACACGATTTCTGGTGGTTCCGTAAGAGCCATCCGATATCGCGCCGATATCATACTTTCTCTTGTGCATCTTTTTGTCGATTCAGTGGGTACCGATACGATATTTATGGACGATAATGCTAGCCAGCATAAAGCTCGAGGGGGGGTGATGCACAGCTATCTGGAGAGTGAAACTACTCCACATCTGCCGTGGTCTGTTAGATGACCGGACTTGATATTCTTACAGCATGTGTGGAACATGTTCAGATGACGGATAGCAGTGTGCCTCCGAGAACCCTCCACGATCTCCGACATGCATTACTACAGGAATGGACGCTACTGCTACAACAAACGACCAACGACACTATTGCCAGCTTGACTCGCCGTTGTCAAGCATGCATTTCAGCTAGAGAGGTTATGATACCCGTTATTAGCGTGATTATGCCAGAATGAGATTGTGATAATTTAATATTTGATCATAAGTTGGATTATGCCAGACAGACATATTTGATTAAGTTAACATGTGCTCATTTCAAATGGATAATAGATCCCAAAATTCTGATTTACATGATTTTAAATAGATCAAGTTTCATCTACAAATTAGTGTTGTGCTTCATCAAAATATTGTGATATGATTTTTGTGAACTGTGCTACGTTTTCCTTTCTTCTTTGGCCGGAGGGAATGTGCAGGAAAGCCTCCACATTTATTCAACATCAAGTCTGTTCACTGCGACCGCTCAATAACAGAGCGAAATTGATGACTACGGAAGGATTTTCCTCCTCCTGCTGTTGGCTCCGAAGGTGTAGGTCGTTCTTCTGGCTGTCTTGACTCCGGTTGAAGTGTGCGCCATGTTTGTTTTTTTCGTTGTTTTTTGACTGCCATCTCTATATTGTGTGTAGAGTAATGTATTTCGCCGAGTAAAGAAATTGGTACTGGAGATTCAACTAAATTATCTAGATGCTGACTTCTGCAGTAAATTAATGATGTTCTACGACTTGAGTATCCTCGAAAGGACTTCATGTGCACGTGTTCCACTTTCCTAATGATACGAATATTCGCCTTGTGTTTCTTCAAAAATATATTGGAATAGCCAGTCAATATTGGTCTGGTTATTTCCTCCGTTATAAAATTTGATACTTTTTATCATGAAACTTTTTTGAAGGCGATGTACTGAGATTCACTTTGATTGGAATATAACGCGTTTCTTGTACGAAAGGTTAGGATTTAGAGTGGTAGGACTATTTCTTTCAGCCGCTATTCGATCACAGTTAATAAGCTTCTGTCTGGCGATATTTACTTAATTTATGCTAGTATTAATACAAAATTTTTCGATGATGTCAAGTTATAATAAATATTACTTAGTTCACATTATTTGAAGTGCCATCCTTTTGGGGTAAGTTACTTAAATTTATATTTCTTTCAGATCACACATTTCATTCTGCACTTTATCGAGCATATCTGGTTTATTGTGCACACCACCATATTTTTATTACAACAGTCTTGCGACCCATTTCGTCTTTCGCAATGTGATAATCGTGATACGTGTGTTTTTGTATGTTTTTGCTTTATTGTTTGCTGTGTGGTCTAGTAATGCTACACCAAGTTCTTGGATCAATTTCACGCATATACATTACATTACTTTTATTTTATTCCATGTTTTGGTTTTGTTGCTTATTTTTAAGCAGGAGTGTTAATATAGAGAAGATCAGTGCTGCCAAAGTGATCTTTTCTTAGAATTTGCATCCTGGAGAAAGACAAAGAAAGTTCATAATTCAGGCAAAATATTAAGATCAATGAATAATTAACATGAGATTCTATAAAGTAAATCTTTGCATATGAATTATATAAAAAGTACTTTTTTCATTTTTATTATCTAGTATTAGTTATACGTATAACACTTATAATGGTTTTTGCTATATAAAATAGTATTGATATATGCCTAAAAATAGATGATTCATAACGTAAATTGATTCTGGAGTTATCATAGAAAATTCACACTGCCATTGAATGCCTTACAATAATATTACAGTATTACGTTTTTATGGTATTATAGAATAAATAATTTTTCATTGATTTATTTATACCATTTTAAGAATACAATACATGCGAAATATAGCCCAAAAAATTTTATTGACAGCCAATTACATGTTAGCGACCTAATTGATAGCTAATGATATTGGAAATTCAGCACTGCGTTTTGACTGCGCGAGGTGTTAGCGATTTTTAGACCCGCTTTGAATAAGAGCTACCGCACCCAATAAATCTTTCCATTCTCTTCGTTTAACAAGAATAAACATTATACTTTCTTTTCCAAGTAACCTGTGTACTTTCTGCAGCTGAATCTGTCTCATTAAAATGTTTCAGTGAAATATGTTTTGTATTCTATCTCTGTCTTTATACTGTTTAGGTCTGCTTACACGGAGGGCCTGCTATCAATGATCCAGACGAAAGGGACAAAACCCCAACGGATAACAAAATACTGAATAGTCTGAAAGACTACATTAAAGAGCATTTACCTCTCCTGGAAACAGAGCCAGTTATTGTCGAAAACTGCATGTATACGGTGAGGCACCTCTGCAATTTGTTTCCACAATAAAATAATTTCTAAGTATTCTCTAGAAGTTATGAAAATAACAAGTATTGAAAAATCTTCTAACTCTTTCTTGAGTTACTTCTCCTAAACGTTTCTTGGAAAAAAACCAACAAATTAGAAAATGGCGTTCCCTTTTTACTCTTTCGTCTCAGAAATGATTTTCATAATAATCAGGTGTCCTAAATGTAATGTTATTCTTACTGAGAAAACTTTCAACTCATGTTTCCAAAATGATGTAATGCTACTTGTCTGAGAGGACAGTTTTATCAAAATGGAAACGATTTTAGGAGGAAAAACTAGCTAAATGATATTTCTTCAGAACTTTTCAAATTGCATATCATTGCTGTTTTTTATGAGTCTCGTTGTAAATTTTGCAATAACATAAATATTATGTTTATGACTCTATTATGTATTTTACTATTGCGTATTATCAAACTTTGCACTTTAATCACTGTTAGGGCTATTGTTTATGATATTCTTTCCTCTGAATATTGTATTCAAAGAAGCAAATTGTAAAGACGTATGGTATTGTAGGAATATACGAAAATAAACTTATTTATGAAGAACAAATTAGCCAGCAAGCCATGGGAATAACGCAGAACTTCTGTACCGAAAGGAAGATTTTCTGCTACAAAGAAAAGATAGTCCTTAAGTCTGATATTCAAGACTACAGTAAACGCTTATTTTAAAGTTGTAAAATTACGCATTAAAACTAACATTTCATTATTCAGGATGTCTTGCTATTTCCAAAGCTCACGACAATTCATTTCGCAATATGTGTGAAATAACAGCTGAGGCAAGTCCTAAGATAATTTACTATATATATAAACTACGCAAAATATTAGTGCAACGAAATTTGAAAGCCTATATTCTCTAGAACATTCCATTCTGTGTTAGTATTCATTAAATCTTAGCTTCGTTGAAAGAATTGCTTTTATTTATATGCATACATATGAAAAGTCTAATATGGCCATTACATGACTTCCCGCCAATTTTATGGTTATATAGCAACGAGCACTTCCAGTTGGTCTTTTGTAAATAAAATTTAATGTATTGTTCCAGTACATAGAAATATCTGTGATACGATATATTTTAGATTACTCTTTATTAAGTATAATTGGACATATATAAAAGGTGGTGTCTCTAAACTCATACTAGCGTAATTACATATTTGCCTCTTTATTAGCCCAAAAAGGCTATTACTCTCAAAGCGTGATTTTGTATGCATATACACTGCTCTTTTTATAACATTAACCAAATGATAATGTGTAAAAATATCCTTCGAAACAGCAATGGGTTTACTATAAATTCAACAAGTACATATAAATAAGTCCTTTCATAGACGTTTAATTAGAAAAATGCGAAAACATTTTAAAGTAAATTTGTTCATAACGCATAGATTTTGACTTTATTGTTCGTAAAATTTCTCGAAATTATTTGATCGATCCTGTTCCCTGTCTTAATACCCAGAGGGTATTCCTCATTAGAAATGTGCATGCGAATATAAAATTTAAAACTAGGGAAAATGCAATCTAGGCAGGGAAAAAAGTAAAAAAAAAAGAACTCTGCAAGATTTTTTGCTCCTGATGAAGAGGGACCTGTGTCTGTGTCTGATCACCCTCAAATTCGATACATTTATTCAAAATCTAAACCAATGGAAGGCTATTCTTTTGCCTAATTTTAAATGTTTTGGTTAAACTCGAAAAAGGCTGATTGGACGCATAAACCCTTACTTGGAGACATTTTTCTCATTTTTGTAAAATTTTGTAACCTACCTGTTCGTTGTCTGGCAATTGTATTTCAATTGCATCAAAAAACAACTTGATAACACTTTGACGCTATTAGGCAAATTATTGATCACAATAAGCAAAGTTATTTTCCATGTTTTCGTATGTAAATGGGGAAGGGTACTTCTGCAATTCGATAATAATATCCGAATGATGACATTAATCAAGATCCCATTTAGCGGTTTCTAATGTAATGAGATAAACTAATAAAAAATTATAAATATTTTGAGGCTTTAAGAATGAAAACAATCTTTTTTCGCATTCAGATATAAATTATTAACCTACACATAATACAATTTCTTTTACAGATGACACCAGACGAAGTTTTCATCATTGATAAATTACCCAAGCATAAAAATGTTATCATTGGAGCAGGGTTTTCAGGTCAGTATTTTTCTAATACTATGAAAACTGGACATTGGTACCTTTATAATGTATTTCTCCCGCCTTCTTAGAATGCCTTCGTGATGTAATGGTAAGCACAATCGCCGCGTATTCGAAAGGCCTTAGGTTCTAGTTCCGAAGAGAGCATTGCGAATTTCTTCGATTTCTTGTTTAAAAAAAAATCTAACAGACTCTATTGTGGCGCACGAACTAAAACAAAGTGGTGAATGATGATTCTCCACCACCTGGATTTGGTGATTGGGTTCTCTAATCCCCAGTCTCTCTTTAAAAGGGGGAGTATGTAAGATGTTTCTTCCGCCTTCTTAGCATGCCTTCGCCAGCACAATTGGCGTGTATTCGAGAGGTTCTAGTTCTGACGAGGGCATTGCGGATTTCTTCGATTTCTTGTTTAAAAAAAATTCTAGTAGACTTTACTGTGGCTCCCGAACTAAAAAAAGTGGTGGATGATTATTCTCCACTACCAGGATTTAGTGATTGGTTCCCTAATCACCAGTCTTTCTTTAAAAGGGGGAGTATATAGTTTTATTTTCCAAATAGGTTTTTAAGACGAATTAAAATAAAAAAAGGCGTTTCATACTTTCATTCCGTTTTTCTCATAAAATTCATGTTTGTATTTCGAGAATAACATCTATGCTTTTCCACGTGTAAATAACTAAGAAGTGAATGTTTTCTTTCATTAATTACAAACATGCGTTTTAGAGTGTTTTACTTTACATCAAGTAGTTATATTATGTAAAAATAAACCATTAAACTAAGAAAAATACATTGTTAACTATTAAAGCTCACATTTTAATTACAAATTTATTAAGCTTGAAAACTGAATTTAAATATCTTATGTTTTACCGTATAAGGTGTTTCTCCCGCCTTCTTAGCATGCCTTCGTGGTGTCAGCACGTTCAGCGCGTATCTAGAAATCCGTGTCTTGAGTCCTGGCGAGTGCATAGCTCATTTTTTATGACTCCAGGTTCAAAATAACCTAATGACTCTGCAATGGCCTCGGCTCGTATCGAGACATCCGCGGTTCGAGTCCCGGCGAGGTTATTGCTCATTTTACACAAATTCAGCTTCAGAAGACGAATCCTGCTTCAAATGACTCTACAACAGAATTGTTATAATGCTAGTTGTAGTTATGCACGAATCTCATGAAAGAAAAGCGTCTTGGCAAGACCTGTCAAGGCGAACTGTTGATAAACCATTGTAACGTAAGCTAATATAACAATTAAAAAAAATTAGAAAGACTTTGCGAAAGACGATTATAACAAATTAAATTATAATTAAAAATAATTAATTAATTAAAAATTTTAAATGAAAAAACTGATAAAAAGTAAAATTAATTAATAAAAGTTGCTATGTGATCTTTGTGTTCAGATTCCAATTTCCAGGAATTTAATATACAGACCATGAAATTCTATAATTAAATCTAGCTGTTTCAAATTGCAACGAGAAATATGTAGCAAAAATAACTTGTTAAAATTAACTACATATGGACACATTTGCTTTCCTTTTATAAAAAGAATTATTGAAGAGAGAGCTATACCTTTCCTTACCGGAATGCCTAAAGAAGAGGCATGCAACGAAAATTTCCCCGCAAATCAACTGAATACAGTTTCTGTTTTACTAGGGCAGGAAATTTGCTAACAAAGCAATAGCTTTTTAGATGTGTTGAAAATATACTGATGTTTTTTAAAACTAATGCAAGGAATTTCAGAGTTTTGTGAAATAGGAAATTTTAGTATAAGCAACAGAAATCGGTACCACGTTATTAAACGTAAAGTTTGTAGTTTCGAGGGAGAAACAGAATTTACTTCTTCTGAAGAAGGCTGATTTAAACGTTAGAATCTATAATTACTACATAACACTTACGTTAAGCCAATTCTTGTTATTAAATTTTGGTTACTTAAGCATGGGTTACATGCTTGGCTAAGCACATTTATAACAGTCTATTCTTAATGTTAATGTTTAAGGTTTCCAAGTGTAACGTTTAGAATATTAAGCGTTTAATAATATGAAAGTTTACAAATATCCTCAGCGCAATGCCTGGTGAAGCGGTTTCCGTTCAGAAATGCTCGGAAGTTATTCAAAATTTTCTTTAAAGCACCAAAAGAATTTGCTGATAAGAATTTGCTGGTTTTCGTTTTGAATTGTAAATCAAGAAAACGCTCTAATTAATTTATAGATTTATAGATTTATTTAGATAGAACTACAGTTTAATAAGTCACATATACATAATACAAAGCTGCCGAAAGTTTTCATAAGAATGAATTTTCAGTTCTTACCCAAAAGTTACTGAAAAACCAGGAATCATATCATTAACCTCACATCTTTTAATCTAAAAGATCTGATTTAAGTTGCCGCAGTGTTTTAGATTCCCATTTCCAATTTCAATTCTTTCTAGAAAGGTTTACTCCAGTTGATTAGCTAATAAACATATAACAACATCTATAACTGTATATATAATTCAAATTCTGAAATGTTCTTAAAATAAACGAAACTAGGCTGCATTCCGTTCTGAATTCGTGTAATTTCACTAATAATTAAATATTCCCATTTTGAAATGATGAATTATGTATTTAAATGTACTGGAAATTACAGAAATTCTGATATTACTAATTAGCCTTCTTATTTTGTTACTGAATAAATTATATATGTTCTAGGGACCGGATTCAAGACTGCTCCTATTTTTGGAAGATTATTGAGTGAAATGGCTGTGGGCGTCGAACCGTTTTTGGATGTTTCGCATTATTGTCTATCAAGATTTGATTCAAAAGAAAAATTGTAGTAGTATTTTTGGTACCATAATAACTAAAAAAGAACTTATTTTTGACGAAATTTCATAATTATAGAACTTTTAGATTATTGTTCAGAGGTTTGGGTTTTTTGATTGACTTGATTTCGTCTGTGGCAATGTGTAAGAAAAAAGTTAATAAAAATGAATTTAATAGTACATGCTTTCTGAAAATATCTTATGTTGAATAAAATATCTTATAGTATTTTCCTGAAATGTTATTTCATGAATTTCAGTCTGAAGATTAAAATTTGGTAAAATAATTTCAGTGTTTGATAACATGATAATAAAGAGCTATAAAATGTTTCCGTACTATTTTTGATTGTATCATTACAGGGCTAATTTTAACAAATTAAAATGAAAAACATAAGTATCTATTTCCTGTCATTTTATATAGAATTTAATCCAGTTAATCCATTAAAATAATTTTCATTAAATCCTAGGTATCTTATGCTGTATTAACTACATTTTTTGAATACAGCTACTTCTTTCTTCACTGTATTTCATATTGTATGGGAAATATCTCAAATTCATTAAAACTCGTGAATTTCTATTATTTGAGTTTGAAAAATGCAACCATAAAGTAACGTTTTTAATCAACAGTCCGGTATGAAATTTCGAGCATAATCTAAAATGCAGTAACCTATATCTCTGGTCCTAGGGAATCTAAAATTAACAGTTGTATAACAATTCAAAGGAAACAACACGAATGCAAATCACAAGCATGTTTTTCCTTTTCGTTGTTTTAAGAGTATCTTCTTCCCCAAATATGCTTCCTTTTTAACGAGGAAAAGCCTATTTGGGGTTCTTCAATAGCACTTTAAAATTGAAGTTTTTAAATTCTTTCAGAGCGTTCTTTGCTTTCTGAAAAGCGACCCTGTATAACAGTGTATGTTCTCGAAAGCACTACATTACAATGCTTTTATATAGGGGAAAATCTAAGATCACTAGATTCGGAGTTTCATGAAGAAGAAAGAAGAACTGTTATCTAAGGTATCGGTCATTTATAGGAACTTTCATTGTTGGTCAATATTTGCTGATCATGTTGCTTGTAGGTGATATCATCTTATGGCATTTATTCGTAATGAATAACGTCTTTAAGATAACAAAATTGTTATCTTAACTTTCCACCGTGTTTTTGATGATTAAGAAATTTTAGCAGTTACAAGAAAGTCGAATTCCAGTTTCAGAGTCGTAAAGAAGAGACCCTGAAGTCCCTTTCAGAGTCTTTGTTTTTGCCTTATATTAATGATTTTGTAAAATTCAATTACAGAACATTTCAAAGACCTAATGATTGTTTTTTACGGGAGGTTTAGCTTTCTGTAAATTAGGTAGTTCTAGAAATTATAGTATAAATTTATTTCACGATATCAGATATCGTATTCGCCAATTCTCAAAAATCTGGAAATTTAAAAAAATATTAGACAAAAATGTACGCTTTAACAAAGAATAACAATGGAGAAGAAATCATAAGTCATTCAAAATGAAAAACAAATATACGTTTGTATTATATTTTTAACTCAGTAGCTTAATTACTTTAAAAATAATAATATCTGCATTGTAACTGATGACAATTTTTCTAAAAATAATTTTTCGGTACTCACAAATAGTTTCTTTATTGCTTTACCTGCAAAACGGGTTCTGGGTTTGGTTGTAAGAATTCAAGAAATGGAATTTTATGTCCAAATACATACCTTTATGATTTGCCGTATAAAAGTTAATCAAATAAACATTTCTAAATCGTTCATTTTAGTACTGTATTTTTTATTTTAAATAATTACAATATCCCACATCGGAAATTTATCTTCTACATCATCGATGAAATCCATCATTCGATCATCCATCATTCGATGGAAAAAATAACTTTATGATTAGAGAAATAATAATGTTTCAGTTCACAATATACGTTTTAATTTCTTGAGATTTAAAAAAAAAATTTTGTAGAATTGAGAACTTCTGAAAGTTATAACACTTTGTAAGCTTCCAATTATAAACTGAGCTCGACGTTAGAAGACTGTTTAGTAAATAAGCATTACGCACTATAAAGTCAGGGAAGGGTGTAAAGAACCCTTTATTAACTGAAATCAGATTTCACAGACGGCACATATACTCGTGCTTACAAAAGCCAACACTTTTGGCTTCAAGCAAAAGGTAACGAATAACGAATAACTTAAAATTTATTGCAGATAGCTTAACGGCTTCACAGGTTAGCTATTGCGCAAGCTGGCTCTGACTCGAGAAGTCGGCATAAACAAACCTAATAGCAAGAACCACAGAAATCTAATCGCTAGAAAATCAAAGACCACACGCAGCTTTCAGGCAGGCAGAACACGCTGTGGTTTCACCTTCCGAAACTTCCCTTAAATACCAATTTCTTTCTACCTTATTTGAATACACGTTTGCTATTCGATTTGCATTCTGGCAAGAATGAGTGAGTTGAAAGCAAGAGACATAGGAAAGCTATTTCAGCATAAAAGAACTCTTAAGTAAATTAAATAAATCTCCACAGTGTAAAGAAAAGGAATTATGTTTTCATCTGCAACACAACTTCTAGATAACTCAAAAGAGAGTTCTCACCTTCTATACCATTAAATAAATGGCAAGTTGCTCTTAGAATTCCATAAGGGTACTTGAAACAGTACAACACCCTGCTCAACTAAAGAACAAAATTTAACGTTGAGGTAATCATAACTAAATGAGGTTACTTCTACGAAAGAAAAGTGAGATAAAAATATGTATTGTTGAACTATCTCGGGTGGACTTTCTTCTTCGATTCGACATGAACAGTAAATGCAAATATTCTGCGGAGGTCATAAAATCGTTTAATCGTTTCGAACTGTGGTCTGGTAGATTCGGTTCTATTTTTGAATAATTTAAAGAAATAAGTGAGTCTTCACCGTAGCTACAAATGGGTACGATTGCATTATAAACTAAATATTAGCAGACGTAAACAATATATAAGCATACAAATAAATATTTGCTACTTATGTTGAATATGTCACTGTAATCATTAAAGTCACTAAATGTTCGAAAATCAGATTGATAAAAGTAAGTATTACATTAAAAATAAGAAATCAAATCAGATTATGTGAACTTTCACACATCTTGATAGACTTTAAATTGAAATTGTATATAATCCTGAAAATATGTGTTTAGTTGCGTAGTTCAATTTTTGTAGCATTCATATCCATCAGAATATGAACTAAAGTAATGGAAAAATCAAATCTTACACATTATTTAGATGCATTACTTGTAAAGTAAAGTAAAGAAGTTAATTTGATGAAATGTATGCTTTATACAATAAGGACACATAATTCAAAATGATTGGTCCAATTTTAAATAATGTTATCTTTTAAGTTTGGAAGTTCAGAGTAAAAAATAATATATATTACTATGTGTAGCAAAATGATAATTATCTAAATTACAATGCTTCTACAACTTCCTACAGTTACATGAATAATATCAAGATGATAGTCGAAATCTTTTTCTACTTGTTGCAGCATACATATTTGATGCTGTTTCCAATGTAAGAAAGATACAGTTTTTGAATCACTTTGAGCTTCAGAGAAATTCTGTAAGAATACAAAATCGTCGTTATATTACCAGAAAAATATTTTGTTTCAGGTTTCCTATTCGTATGAGTTGCCATTCTCAACAGGAACACATCACCTTTAATAAACCCAGAGCCAAAGAAGTATTTTTCTAAAAAAAAAAAAAAAAAAAAAAAAAAAAAAAAAAAAAAAAAATGGCATTCTGTATAAACATTTAGCTACAAGACTAGAAGAGAAACACGCTAATGTGACAATCAAAATCGTAAAATTACTTGACTTACACTCTTGAAATTGAATCCAACAATTCCCTCCCCTTCCTCGATACCCTTATAATCCGCAATGAAACTGATTTTAGCACCACTGTGTACCGTAAACCCTTTGCAGTTTGTTTACCATCCCATACCAAGTCATGCCACCCTGTTAAGCAAAAAACGGCTTCCTTTTACTATTATGTATTCCGTGCGTTTAAAGTTTGTTCCTCTGAATCTTTGCTTACCAATGAACTTAATTATTTGAGAGCAGTTGCGATTGACCGGGGATTTTCTCCCGTGATTATTGATAAAGCCGTTAAAAATTTTCAGATTTCCATCAAAGAAGACATTCCACTGTTAGAAATAATATTAATGACCTTGTTGTGCTTCCATTTTATCTTTCTGTTAGCTATAAAATTGCACGGATTCTCCAGAAATTCAATTTTCAAGTCGGTTTCTCCCCTATTAATAAAATTCACCCTTCGATTCTAAAAGATTGCGTTTCTGTCTTGAATTCTTGGGGAATTTATAGTATATCGTGTCAATGTGGTTTAAGATATATCGGCCAAACGAAAAGAGCGTTGAAGTTTCGTATCAAGGAACATGAATCTTATGTCAGAAAAGGCGAAATTAACAAGTCTTCAATAGCGTATCATAGTTGGACTTTTAACCATAATTTTGATTTTGGATCTGCAAAAATTATCCAAAAGGCTCCTTCCATAGATGAATTGGGTTTTCTTGAGGCTTTTCACATTCACAAAGATTTAGCAGGTTTAGTTAATGATTTGAAGTCCAATCCAGTCCTTCCTGATGCCTTTAAAATTCTACTATCTTAATTCTGTTATTTTTGCCGATAAATGGCGTTACCTCGTCGCGTTTGGTACTACCAGAGAGTATAAAAATCCGTTCATTGTTGCTTTCCATTATTTGAAGTTCAGATTTTGAGCGTAAGGTGCATTTGCCCCTCGCTCCCTAATTTAACTTCGCTAATTTTTCATGCTCGATCTGATAGCCTGGCTCAGTAAAAGTAGGCGGCCAGTGCAACTCTGATTAAAAATGTAGTTATAACCACGTGCAGTGCTGATAAGGACCACGTGTTTCTGTGACTTCTTCTCCTTTATTTTCTTCTTTCTAGGTATTTCTTTCTTCTGATGAGGAGGGACCTTTAGCCGGTTTTCGAAATCGATTGAGTATTTCATTATACCTACGCTAAATACAAGGTTGTTTTTACGATTTTGATTTTGCTACAACTTAAATTTTTTATTGTGCATCAAGTTTACCATTAATGTTTAATTAATTAATGTTAATTATCACATACCATTAATGTTTACGCACTGTATGATTCAATTATGACAAAAACCCAAAACTTATCTACGTTCGAGTACGCGTAAAAATGGCACTACCTACGAGTAAAAATGATATTTTATGAAAGCATTTACCTACGATTTTAATCCTTTGCTGTGTATTAAGTTTTAGCATACCATTAATATATACGTACTGGATG